ATCTGATGATAATTTCTCATGCATTGTTTCCTTTTTCCTTTTCCTTTTTCTTTTTTTGGGTAAACTGATGGTCTTTTGTCTTGCCTCGCTGCTTTTTGGAGTAATTTTACAGGGTTCTGGAGTGCTAGGAAGAATAGAAGGGAAATCAGAAATAAAGGAATCCAAAAGAGGGTTAAGGTTAGGGTTAGGGTTAGCTCTGCCTTTCATATTCACTGGAAAAAAAGAAACTAAAATGGTGAATGGGTTGCTCTTTTCCATATTTGTGTAAACACATACATCTGAAGTCATCACACCAGTTACTCAAGCACTTAACAAAACTGTCTTTTTACGTGAACTAAAGTGCTTTTCTGATGGTAAGATATCATGGAAACAAACAAATTCACAATTCGATTTTAGTAATTTAAATAATGCCAAATATATACTTACACTATTAACAAAAGGGGATATGCATTCCGGTCTGTGAACTCCTTTGGAAATGATAACTGTAAAGGAAGTTCTTTTAAGAAAAGAGCAAAACATTAAAGGCTGGTAGTTTCAAGGATAGAAAACATATATTATCTGACAAAAATGTTTTGTTTCAATAACTTCTAGATATATTTACCATAGTCATCAATGTGAAGCGTTTTGGTTTCTGTCCGGAACTTCATTTTCTTTAAAAATGCTTCTTTTAATATGGAATTGTTTTCCAATATATAAAATACTGAACAAAACAAAACAAACAAACAAAAACAGAATTATAAGAAATAATACATGCCTCCCCAAACATTAGATATTAAGATGCCATATTATATGTATGCATATTTTCTGCGTAACCTGCACTAATTTAGTAGGAAAATATGTGACATTCATAAAAGCCTAACTGAGAGGCCTGAAGAGTAGGTTACTGAGGGAATATCCATGCTCATTTCAAGATGCTGGTTATGACCCATAAAGCCCTTAACAGTTTAGGATCTCAATACTTCTTGAAATAACTTTATCAAAATTCAGCTACCTGAATTCACTTGCTGACCCCAGTCCACAGAGATACTGTAAATGCGGCCACACCAAGTGAGGCCAGTAAACTGCCCAGAGTAGTGTGTGCACTAATGGGTCCGTATGTACATCAAATGAACAAATGAATGAATGAATGAATGAATGAATGAATGAATGAATGAATGAACGAATGAACGAACACACAAACAAATAACGAAATGGGATATCTACAGCCATGGGTGGTATGCACTCTCAATTGGCCCTTATGCTACTGTGACATCCTGGCCCTACCCCTAATTTCTGAATATATAGTTTGTGTCTTAAAATAAGATCCTACCCTTGCTCAGGCTTTTTTTTT